GAATTAACTTATCCAGTTTCTTATTTGGAACAACATTCAATCTATGTATCAGTTTGCAGGAGAACTGACATTTTTACAATTATGAGCCTTCCTATATGTGAACGTGGTGTATGTTTCTATTTGGGTTTTTCTTGAATGTATTTCAATAGAGTTTTATAATTTTCTCCATATAGTTTTGCACGTAGTGACTGCTGGTTGTGCTTCCTTTCTTCTATAGTAACAGAATCCCCAATTTTCAGCTGGAGACTCAGACACTCAGAATAAAGACTATATTTCCTAGCCTCTCTTGCAGCTAGGAGATCTTGTAACCCAATTGCCAGCTAATAGGATATTCACAAAAAGGGTATGTAACTTCTGGGAAGTATCATTAAAGGAAACTAGATACCCTTTGCCTTCCCTTTTCTCCTTCCTGCTGGTTGGAATGCAGATAACATGGATGAAGCTAGTTATCTTGGACCATGAGGTAGAAAAGCATGTATGAGGATAGCAGAACATAATAGAAGGAATATGAGTTCCTGATCATTATGGAACCACCATGCCAACTCTGGGTTCTGTCTGAAAGGAAGAAGAATGAATATTAGATAAGGCAACTAGCAATGTCTGTTAACAACTTCTGAGAGGCTACTGAACCCTAGTTGTATGCTAGTGTTACCTGTGGAGACTAGGGCCTGAAATTATGATCTTGTAGGCAGAAATGATAATTATGGTATTGTGATGGGAAGCACAGTATGAAAAGAGTATGGAAGAGTATGGTATGCAGTAAGAAGTGTAGAAAATAGCCAATTAAGCAAGAAGTTCAATTAATGATTTTGACACAAAAAGATGAGATCAACCTTTTTAGTATGTGATCAAAATAATCTTTAGAGATTATTTATGGCCACAGGGGGGATTGTTTAGGAAAAATCTTGCACATTTAGGAACAAGGCAAAAAGATGACTACATGATCTTTTAATATCTTGCTAGAGCCATTTTCAAATAAGTCTGACTGAGGGTCATCAGATTATCTTGGAGAATGTAATTTTGTTTGATTAGCACCCAGAAGTTTTACAACCCTTAAAAAGTTAGAGGGTAAATATGTAGAAAACTAATAAGGTATAGTAATTTTTTTCTAGTCTACTAAAGAAGATAACTCTAAAAGTTATAGTTTATTGCCTTATAGGACATTAACTGCCTTTGTCCCTTAGTATCTTTGGTTAGCATCTTTTCCTATTGACTATATAAATCCCAATTTTTCATATCTTCACAGAACTAGCTTTGTCATTCTGTTGATTCCTTCATTATTGAGGAAAATAAAATTTTGATATGTGGAAAGAAAGAAAGAATATGATATGAAGAGGCCTTAGAGCTTAAAAGCAAAAGATTAGCCTCAGCTTAGAGGAAGAGAACAGGGTGTTCCAGTAGTTCTGGAATTTTCTACCAGCAAAGTGGAGAGCCTCCCAAAATTCAAGTTATATATAGGGCCTAAAAACAAAACAAACAAACAAAACACTGCTTTACTAGGCTGAGGAATAAAAGGGTTGAATAATTAAGAGAGGCAGTAAGGATAAGAGCAAGAGTTTTTTAATTAGAGAAGGGGACAGGTAACATGAGATATTAAGTATGACCAACTTCAGGCCCCAAAAGACTGGAGAACAAGGGTATTATAGCACATCTTAGTTCCTACATTGGGACCTAATTTTTTTTTTATTTTCTATTTTGAAAGAAATGATGTAAATGAATTCTCTGAAACAAAGGCACATTTTGAGGAGGAAATGTGCTCACAGTTTGGAGAAGTTTCAAAGGATTCAATACATGCCTACAAGAAAGACTGGCACAGTCGGGATGTCAACAATGCTTTTCTTTTGAGGTTCAGGACTGTGGCCAATATAGTCATCCTAAGAACAAGAGCCATTCTTGATATGTAGTATGCACAAATCCAGAGGTTCCAGTGACTCTGAATAATACTAAGGATCAAAAGACCTCCTAAGTAAACTAAAATTCCCTGAGGACAGGACCTCCCAGACATCCTGGAGACATGCTGACTCCTTGCCTCTAAGCTGCACAGACCCTTTCCCCTACTAGTGAGAGTAGTGGTTCTCTAGGGCAGTCCATAGGAGTTTGGAACTACCTGTTAATCTTACGTAATATGGACGCCTTATTTATGATAATGTCACACTCTGTTCTGTCATCCTTTTAGTCATCAAGCCCTATAGACTCTGCTTCCACAGTGTCTCTTCATGTTATCTTTTCTCCTTCCACTACCACCACCTGAGTATAGGTCACCATTAATTCTTGCCTATCATATTGCAGTACCCTCCTAATTTATTTCTTTGCTTCCAATCCTTTCTCCTCAATCCATTCTAAAACCCACAATTAGGGTAATGAACCTAAATTAGAGCATATACTCTAGTGCTCTGTGGTTCCCAACTGCCTAAAAAAGTTCAAAGCTCTTTGACTGGCTTTCAAAGCCCTCAATAATATGACCGCATCCCACTTTTCTAGCCTTTATATATCACATATTAGTAAACATTCAGATTCATCCATTAAACAATGGGGTGTCTGCCATGGGTCAGGCATGGCTAGAGTTACAAAGGGAAACAGGATAAGTGTCCTCATCAAGTGGACAGCCAGTGGAAGAGATGAATAAAACTGAAGAGTAACCAATGTGGAAGAAAGAAAACCAGGAGAGTGTGGTGCCCTAAAAGGCACATGAAGAAAGTGTTTTAAGAAGGGAATGATCAGGGCCAGCCCCATGGCTTAACGGTGAAGTGCGCGCACTCTGCTACTGGCGGCCTGGGTTCAGATCCCGGGCACACACCGACACACCACTTGTCTGGCCATGCTGAGGCGGCGTCCCACATACAGCAACTAGCAGGATGTGTGACATACAACTATCTACTGGGGCTTTGGGGAGAAAAAGGAAAAAAAAGGAAGAGGATTGGCAATAGATGTTAGCTCAGGGCCGGTCTTCCTCTGCAAAAAGAGGAGGGTTAGCATGGATGTTAGCTCAGGGCTGATCCGCCTCACAAAAAAAAAAAAAAAGAAGGGAATGATCAACCACCTCAAATACTGCTGAGAGGCCAAGTAAAACGAGGACTGCAAATTAACCACTGAAACTTGGCCACGTCGAGGTCATTGATGACATTGACAAGAATGGGTGGGAATGAAAGCTTGATTAGAGTGGGTTCAAGAGAGAAATGGGGGTAAGGAGTTTGAAGATTTTTGCTATAAAGGGGAACATCAAAGAATTTAAGTTCTGGGGAAGGCTTTTTAAAGATATGAGAGAACATCAGGTTTCTATGCTGATGGGAATGGTTCAATAGAGAGAGAAGTTGACGATGCAAGATGTAAAAAGATAACTGCAAGTACTTGAGTAGGCAAAGGAGATGGGATCCAATGCACAAGTGAAGAGGCTGATCTGAGATGGCAGGGAAGGCTCATTTATTTTAACCATAGGAAAGACAGAATGGAAATAGAAAGGAGTAAATTAGTAGATTTGGTGGTGAGAAATGAAGTTTTTCTCTCCTGATTGCTTCCATTTTCTCAGTGAAGTAAGTTAACAGCTGAGAGTAAGGAAGGGAGGAGGGAATACTGGAGGACAGAAGAGAAGGTGTGTAATAGTCATCTTGGATCAAAGGACAGTGAATTGATTAAGGAAAAGCAACAGGATTGCTGAGCACTTGAGATCTCTGGCTGTAAACTTAAAGTGAAACTTGCAGTGCATTTCCTTTTCAGCCTCTGAAAAAGAAAAAGCCTTTGCACTTGCTATTTTCTCAATCTCCCCTTGACTACCTGATAAAATCGTATCCTAGAAAGCCCAGCAGAAAAGCTACCTCCTCCATGAGGTCTTCCTCTAGCTCTCCTAGCCCAAAGTGAATTTTCCAACCTCTCAACTCTAATATTAAGTTGTTGATGCCTCCTATAGAGCATATATGCCATCTCACATTATGGTTGGATGCTGTGCAAGATTAGAAGTTCCTTAAATAGAGAAACCATTTCTTATTCACTACAACCACAGATGTTTCTCTCCATCCTCTCTGCCATTGATGACATTGCCTCTCTGCCACATATTATAAATCCCCGTGGTTCTAGGTCCTGTCCAAATACATAATTGTGTGGTGTGGGCACCCTAGCTCCTTATTAAATTGATATTTGCGGAAATAGGAACCTTGCTCACCTTTCCTGCTTATGTCCCTCAAATGCCTTATTCCTGAATTTTAGCTATTTATTTTTACAGATCTTTTAACAAAAAGAGGTTGCTTCAATTAATGTTAGCTCACATATATGGCATTATAACAGGATCCTTGTCCTCAAGAGGTTTATCCCTAGAGTCAAATGTGTCTTATTATCAATACAAAAATATATGGTGTCAGGAGTCTCAGAAGAGGTGCTAATAGAGTAAGGCCTAAGTGTAAACAGCACCCGAGACTGGGGAGTAGAGATGGGAATGGGAGAAAGCAAGTAGGGAGACTGGAATAAAATTTAGCTGGGGCAGAACAAATTTCGTTTAGTCAACTTAAATATAAATGATTCTGTAGGGCAGTCCAGGGAGCATTCCCATTTCCAAACATTGTTGGAAGGAGTAGAGAGCCGAGGATGTGCAAAATAACTACAGGTCCCCAACAGTGCCCTCTTCTTTACCCATATTATCTAAGACTGTTGTTCCCCATTCATGGCAGAACTTCCTCATGCCCTTTCCTCAATCTCTGAGTGATTCAATGGTTAAGACTTTGCTATGGAAAAACCTCTGGCACAAAAGCCACAGCAGGGGCTCGCAAATCGGGACTCAGAGAAGCACCGAAGCAGCGGTGAGCAGGCCCAGGTCCGCCCACGTGAAAAGCGCGAGCCCACCGCCCAAGCACCCGAGCGGCCGTTACGTAAGCGGCCGCAGGAAGGCCCGAGAGCCGGAAGGCCACCCAGCCCTAGGCCCCGCCTTGTCCCGGCGGTTAGACGCCGTGCGCAATTCTCCGGAAGCTCCCGCCCCTTTCCCTTTTATGGGAGTTGTTTTTTTTTTTTTCTTCTCGAGTTGCTGACGCCACCGCGTAGGACTGGCCCTAAAACCGTGATCTAGGAGCACCTCTCTCACTGGGTACTTCCGCTTCCTACAAGCAAGGAGTCAGTGCCTCCCCCGTTTTTCTCACCCAGGCAGCGGCGGCGAAGGAGACTGCAGGGGCTTGCAATGTTTGGCCTCAAAAGAAACGCAGTAATCGGACTCAACCTCTACTGTGGGGGCGCCGGGCTGGCGGCCGGCAGCGGCGGCGGCGCCTCCTCTTCGGGAGGGCGGCTTTTGGCTGCGGGGAAGGAGGCCACGGCCCGGCGAGAGGGAGGGGGAGGGGAAGCCGGCGCGAGCCCCCCGGCCACTCTCGCGCCGGACGCCCTGAAGGTCGCGCGGCCCTCGCCCATTGGCGCCGAGGGCCCCGACGTCATCGCGCCCCCCGCGAGGCTGCTGTTCTTCGCGCCCACCCGCTGCGCGTCGCCGCCTGAAGGAATGGAAGCCCCCGCCGCCGACGCCATCATGTCGCCCGAGGAGGAGCTGGATGGGTACGAGCCGGAGCCTCTGGGGAAGCGGCCGGCTGTCCTGCCCTTGCGGCAGTTGGTCCGGGAAGCCAGCAATGGCCTCTGCACGAACGGCTCACTCCCCTCGACGCCGCCCTCAGCAGAGGAGGAGGAGGAGGACGAGTTGTACCGGCAATCGCTGGAGATCATCTCTCGGTACCTTCGGGAACAGGCAACCGGCGCCAAGGACACGAAGCCAATGGGCGGGTCTGGGGCCGCCAGCCGGAAGGCGTTAGAGACCCTGCGACGGGTCGGGGACGGAGTGCAGCGCAACCACGAGACGGCCTTCCAAGGTAAGGGGGTTAGTCACGAAGCCGCACTGCCCTTTTTTCATCTCTCCCTGGACTCACCCGTCTTGGGTGGGTGGAAACCGAAACGAGTCAGTGTTGAAACGATTCTCATCTATTTCTGAAACCAGAATATTCTGGCCCTGAGTCATTGTTTCCGCCCATCTTGATTCTTTTGGAAATGGCAGCTCTGTTCAAAGCCCGGAAAGGGTGGGATGTCAGTTTTCCAGTGGGGTCGGCCTGAGTTCTGTAGAGCCCAAATAGCGATTTCCCCCGCCGTGGGTGGGCGGTCGAATCGTGCCTGGTTTAGACAAAGGAGGCCGTGAGAACCTGCATGCTTTTCTCCCTCTCAGGCATGCTTCGGAAACTGGACATCAAAAATGAAGACGATGTCAAATCTATATCTCGAGTGATGGTCCACGTTTTCAGTGACGGAGTAACAAACTGGGGCAGGATTGTGACTCTTATTTCTTTTGGTGCCTTTGTGGCCAAACACTTGAAGAGTATAAACCAAGAAAGCTGCATCGAACCATTAGCAGAAAGCATCACAGATGTCCTAGTAAGGACAAAACGAGACTGGCTAGTCAAACAAAGAGGCTGGGTAAGTTTGTTTTCGGGTTGAAGAGGGACCTTAGAGTGGAAATGGAATGGAGAATTTTATAAAGTGGAGATATCTAAAGGTTTTTGTGATGCACAGCTCAGTTTTCAAGCTCTAACTTATGGACGTCTGGTTGCTTGATGTTGATTTAAGTAGTGGGTCCATGGAGATAGTGGTATTACTGTCTTAATTGTTGCATAAAAAAAGCCTGTAAGCTATTTTACTGGTTGCTGAGTCTTTTGCTTTTGATATATTATTATAATTCAGCTGGGTACTCTTTACACTAGTAGATTCAAATTATGCATATATAAGAATCACCTGGGGATAATAGTAAACTACATTGCTGAGCACACCTCCCTCCTCCTCAATTGAATAATGTGTCTCTTGCAGCCCCAGAGGGTGTATAATAGTTGGTTCATCATTGCATTTTGGGGGGAACCTTAGATATTTTAATTCATCTTTTCTCTGTGAATAGTGTTTTTAAGCCAGTATAAACCCACACTTGAAAATATGCTTTTCTTTTTTGTTTTTTAGGATGGGTTTGTGGAGTTCTTCCGTGTAGAGGACCTAGAAGGCAGCATCAGAAATGTGCTGCTGGCTTGTGCAGGTGTTGCTGGAGTAGGAGCTGGTTTGGCATATCTAATAAGATAGTCTTTTAAGTGCAATAATTGACTCTTAACTGACTCCAGCCACCCAAAACCAATACAGTCTGCTGTGAAATCAAATATATTTATGAAGTTGGACTTGAAGATGTCCAGGCTGTCAGGAGTTCTACTGGAGCAACATAGAAAAGCACATGGCAAAAGGACTATGGCTAACAGGAATAAATACATGGGAAAAGTAGTTCCCCTTGAAGAGTCACTGTGTGAAAGAAGCAAAGTTCAGTTTCAGGAACAGGCAAACTTTGGGAGGCCATGGAGGAGGACTTTTAGATTTAGTCAAGATGGTAGGGTGGAGAGACTTAATTTCCTTGTCTAGAACAGGAGAGTGGCCAGTAGCCAGGCTAGTCATAGAGTTCGTTAACTACACCCACTGAATTAATTAACTTCCTATAGTGTTAAAAGAGAAGCACTAACAATGTCAGTGGTCTGTGTAAAATGGATTTGAGCTATAGGGATAGAACTATGACTAGAAGCCTGAGTCCTGTACAACAGAGCGCGAAGGGAAGCTTTTCTCTCTAGCTTTCCCAGGCATACTTCTTGAAGAATAGAAAGTCCAAGTGCTCAGGACTTTTATATCTGTTCTACTTTTTCTTGGTTTGAGTGATTCTTAGTTTATTAGCCTAGTAATGGCCAAGAGTACTTGACTTAAGGCACAATGATGACCGAAATATGGAATAGCTTGTAAATGTATTTGTAAAAATTGTATATATTTTTACAGAAAGCCTTTTTCTTTGAAATGTAAAGGGAGAAGAATCTTGAATTTACATTGGTTTTTTTCATACCTATTTGAAAATTACAACTTCTGTATTTAGGAACCTATTTCTTATGGTTTTTCTATTCTAAACTTTGTTTTGGCCAGTTCTAGATTGTATACAGAACCAATTGATGTAATCGTATGCAACCTGGTTGTAGTGGAACAATTCTGATAACTGCAGGCTTTAATTTTCCTATCTGATTTTGGTAAGTATTTCTTAGGTTTTTTTAATTTTTAAACCTGGGACTGAGAAACTGAGGGCTGGAGATTAATCCTTTCACTTCGTTACATGTAGGTTTTCAATAATTGGGTCAAAGTGGAGTTTTAAAGGGTTTTGGGAGGGAGGGTGGGCACATGCAGGCTGATGAGTTACAAATAATGGGCTCTGATTGGGCAGCTACTCCTTTGAGTTTCTTTCATTTGACCTAATTTAACTGGTGAAATTTAAACGGAGTTTATGAGCTCATCTTCAAAGCTTTTGCTAAAAGACTTTCAGCTGTTCCAAGTGGGACTTACTAGCAGTATGTATAAAAAGATCACATCAGGTGGATGAGAGACATTTGATCCCTTGTTTGCTTAATAAGTTGTAAAATGATGGCTTGAAAAAAGCAGGCCATAATTTAACCATGGTGCTATTACTAGGCTGGCTTGTTAAACACAAGTCTGAGCCTAGTATGTCAATAAAACAAATGTATATTGTTTCATTTCTATTAATGATTCCCAAACTTTGTTTCAGATTTTTGCCTTGGCATCCCTTTGGATTTCAGACTTGATGTTCTATCAAACTTAGCGTTTATTTCCTATCCTTCCTTGAAATATTTGCTGCTTGTTCTGCTCCCTCTACAGATATATCAGTTCCTATGTCTTTATCCTGCCATCCCTGAACTCTTACTAGGCCTTTTAGTTTTTGGCACTATGAACCCCAACTAGGAACCTTAAGTAACCCCCAGAGGAGTCCACAGACCTTCATCTTTGAAGTGGTAGTACAGTGGGTGCTGTGACAGTAACGGTCATGAGATGGGAGGAGTCCTTTTTCTTTGGACTGGTATCTTTTTGGTTGTTGCTTTATCCTGTCTTTAGGGGGGAAGTTTTCAGAAGTCCCCTTAGGAATTTTCAGAGAAGTGTACAACATCTTGTGTGACTTTCTCTAGGTTCCTTTGTATTTGAATATGATCATTTAAAATTATAGAAACAGGTGGGCTCTGTTCAACCTCGTAGTTATATAAAAGCTACTGGTAAACTGAAGAAAGCTTCTATAGTGAAACTAGGGTTATTTGAAAGCTTCAGCCTCAGAATGTGATCTTTAGTCTATGGACTCCAGATAAAAATAAACATGAATAAAATGACTAAGAATGTAATAGGGAAGAATTGCCCTGCCTGCCCATCTCAGAGCCATAAGGTCATCTAGCTAGAGCTAACTTTACCCATGTATTTATTCTTGATCATAAACCACTTATTTATATCATATCTATCTCTAAGGACCTAAAAGCACTTTATGTAGTTTTTAATTAATCTTAAGATCTGGTTAAGGTGACTAAAAGGCCTGTCTCCCCGTATCCAGTTGTGGAAATAAGCACACAGAGGTAAACTGGTGGAGTTTTAGGAGCCTCACTTCCCGATTGACTTAGGTGTGACTGCTGCAATGTGGATGAGGACCTCAGTTGATATTTTGGGTCACGGGTGGTGAGGGCTTAGGGAGCCCGAGTGCTTTGGGGAAGAGTGGGTGGTTTTATAGGGAGAGGAGGCACGTGTTCTAAGTGCTGACTAGCGCATAGTTCAGGCAAATCCTCCAAAATAGAAAGGGAGGGGCTGCTTGGAAAGATGGCTCTCTCAGCAACTTCTGTCTTATGCTTCTCTCAGGGAAAAACATACAGTACTCTAGTGTCGTCTGTGTACATTCTGTTGGGGGTGAACACCTTGGTTCTAGTTAAACAGCTAATGCTGTTGACAGCTGTGCCAGGAAGGGTTAGGACCAACTACAAATTAATGTGGGCTGTAAAATGTAGTTTGTTTCCCTAACTTCCTGTTTTTCCTGAGAAGAGAATAATAAATCTTTTTCAAATACAAGGTGTGATATGGGTGTTTTCTAATCAATGCCTGTCTTCTTCCCCCTCTTAGGCCTTTTAGGGAAGTCAGCTGAGCAAATAAGTATAGGTGAATTAACAAAAGCCCCAAAAAGCTGATTTGCCTTAGAGCAAGTGACAGTTACCTTCAGAATAACCCCTTTCATTCAAATTAGAGGTGTTAGGTTTTTAATTAAATTGTATTACTGCTGTACTTTGAGTAGTTCCTGTACTTTCTAATACAAAATTCAAAATCCCTGTCCTGATTTTTCTTGTAGTCACCAAATGTTGGTATAATTTTGAGTTAAGAGGGTTCATTACAGCAGTTATTCTATCTCCCCATCTCACTCATCCTTTTGAGATGAAGGAGCTAGAAGAATTAACACCCAACGAGTTTTGATAGGTTTTTGGTGCTAATGTTTCAGTACTTATACATCTTTTCCTCTCCCAAAAAGGAGGTGAGATTAAGCAAGTCGATTTCAGAAACCCTATCCTGTCTTTATTTTCAGCTGCTTTGAAAGGGAGCGGAATCACCATGGAAATGTGCAAATATGAGGTTTGCATGTTGGTTTTAAGCCCTGAGCACCAAATGCTAATCATGCAAACAGTACTCTGCTTTCCCTCATTCAGGTTTTGTCTGTGCATTTAAAAGCGCATTTCTGCTTAGAAGCCCCTTTTTTTCTGTAAGCCTAACTACCAGAAGACAGCAACCTATTATCATTACAAAGAAAGCTGTTTTGTACAAGTGCACGCCGAAGCAGAGGGTGGAGGGAGGGTAGCACGGGACACAAGGGCCCAAATCTTGGCCCAAGTCCAGTTCTGCGCAGTACTGTTAATCCCATTGATGTGATGTGAGGCCATTTCTGTGGCAATGTTCCTTAGTTTTAACACCTTAAAAACGGGTCAGATGGTAACCAGGTAACATGAGTCACTGAGGGAGTCAAAATAATCAACACTTCCCTTCGATTGACTCAACCAGACTTTTTCTTTCAGTTCCTGTTTTGCAACTTTAGAGCCAGCTCTTCGCACTGTTCCCTTTCAGAAAACTTTAAAGCAGTTGTGACAGCTGGAGGGAGGATTTTACAAAAATTATTGTAAAGTGAAATAACTTGTGCAACTGCTGTGTAGCATGGCTCCAACCAGATGCCCAGAGCATGGGCCATAAATTTTGCAGTTCAAGACAATCAGCTGAGTCTCTTAATTTATCCCAGTTCTTTTTGGCTCCACTTGTTCACTGATTACAGAACTTTGTCTCCCACACTGTTCAAAGACTTCTCAGTTTCAAGATTTGAAAACTTAATTCTGTCCCTCTTCTTTAGTTTCAAAGTTGTTACAATGTTATCTTAGTTATGTGAAGCATGTGGAACCATGGGGGTTGGCGATCTGCCTCCAGGCAGATGTAACCAACCTCTCTGAGAATTAAGTGTTCTTTAATGATGATTCTTGTGAGGTAAAAAAAGAACACATGTGGCAGGCTTTTATTCCTACACTATACCTGGTTTCTCTTTTGCATTACCATTCTTTATCTGCATAGAAGAATAGTTCCTGACTGTTGGGAAGTGCATTGGGGCCAAGAACACTAGTCTGGATTTTACCCCTTCCAAGTATCTATAACCGTAGCTTGTGTCTGTTATTCTTCGCTTTGCCTTCTCTCCTCAACCCCTGTTCAGGGATTCCTTCTCTCCTCAACCCCTGTTCAGGGAGTCCCTTAGTTTATGTTTCAACACTACGATGAACGGGGACATTTAATGAGCTCTAGGCAGCCAGATGTTAAGTCTCTTCATTTATCCATTTCATGGCAGTGGACTCCTTACTATGTACCAGGCACTGTTGGATGCTGGAATTATAAAGAGGATAATTCTTCCCCTTAAGAAACTGTCAAAAAAGACTAGGGAACAGTGGAAAGAAACATGACAACTAAATGCAGGGTGATCTTTGATTGGATCCTGGATGAAAAGAGCTGTAAAGACAATGGGGACAATTGGGGAAATTTTAACATGGTAGTACTGTATCAAGGTTAAGTTTCTTGAGTGTATTATATTGTGGTATGCAAGATAATGTCCTTGTTCTTAGGAGGTACGTGCTGCAGAATTTATGCGTAATGAATCCATAGAATGAGAAACCAATTTCGGCAAAACGTTAAACCTTAGAATCTAGTAGAAGTGATAGCGTTGTGAAAAATAATTAGAATATAGTGCATAAAGTGCTATAATGAAGGTATTATAAGGGATAGGACAAAGCAGGGTGACAACTTCTGAAAGCAGAAGGTGGTCAAGAAGGCTTCAAGAGAAACATTTGAGGTTGGACTTTAAAGAATGAGTAGGGGGGCCGGCCCCATGGCTTAGTGGTTAAGTGTGCCTGGTGGCCCGGGTTCAGATCCCGGGCGCGCACCGACGCACCGCTTCTCCAGCCATGCTGAGGCCGCATCCCACATATGGCAACTAGAAGGATGTGCAACTATGACATACAACTATCTACTGGGGCTTTGGGGAAATAAAGGAGGAGGATTGGCAATAGATGTTAGCTCAGAGCTGGTCTTCCTCAGCAAAAAGAGGAGGATTAGCATGGATGTTAGCTCAGGGCTGATCTTTCTCACACACACACACAAAAAGAGTAGGAAACAAACGTGCACAAAA